AGTTTGATGAAGAATGACTAAAAGCTTGTAAATGTGGTAGACATTATGAAGGCCCCATGCAGAAGAGGCCTAAATAAGAAGTGATGCTGCTCAGAGCAAGGGAATATGATATAATGACAAGGGGAGATAATATAATGACAATGCATAGAAATAAATAAGTGATACAGGTAAACAAAAGAATAGCTAAAGCTTTTCTGGTAATGAAGAAGAACTAGCGGTTTCATAATTGCCTGCTGTTTGTATTTCTCATTTGAAACTGACCTCGTATTGTTCATATGTTTTTAGTGAAATCATGTGTCAAACTGTTGACATACCCTTCGGTGTTCTTGGATTTAGTTGTTAAAACAGTATTAATTTAAAATTGGTAAGGAGCTGTACTCAAGTGTTGCTGGTTTATTTTTTACAGGCCGGACCTGATAGACATGAATACCATTGCCGTTCAAAGCAATCTTGCCAATTTGGAGCATGCTTTTTTTGTAGCAGAAAAACTTGGTGTCGCCAGACTCCTGGATCCTGAAGGTAATAGAGCTGTGAAGAGAAGAGAGCTTTGAGAGAAAGAAAAAAAGTAGTAACATTAAAATAAAATCCAAGTTGTCTGCAGGTTGTAGCATATTTGTGGGCATTCTTACAACTATGTGATAAAATGTTGTTCTGTCTTGCTCTTTTTAGATGTTGATGTTTCCTCACCTGATGAGAAGTCAGTCATAACTTATGTGTCATCACTTTATGATGCATTTCCCAAAGTACCAGAAGGTGGAGAAGGCATCAGTGCAAATGTAAGTCTGAGAAAAATGGCGTGTGGAGTGTGAGCTTCACTGATAATGATTCTTGATTTTGACTGCAGAATTTTAACTGGACTTTCCTTAAGCTGGCATCATATTATTACTGTGACTAATTCTGCTCAATAATGCAGTTCAAGACTTTTCTTTGATATGATTTTCTAAGGTGTAATTTTGAAGGCTTAGCAGCTCATTTTGAATCTGAAAATAATCATGCAAGGAGCTTAGTTGACAACCATGTTCCTGGAGCCAGAGAAGGAGCCAGAGTCAAAGTCTTACTTTCCAGTTAAGTAATAAGACCTACAGATTGTGCTTCTCTGGTTCTTATCGATTTGAACTTTATTAAAATAGAAAATTCTGTTTTCCGTGGAAATATTTGTGACCAAAACTGAATAGTGCACATGGTGTATTTTCTGATACTTCAAGTGAGTTTTAATGAGCAAGTAAATGTTTTGGAATTGCAGGGCTTAAAATTTTTTCTTTTTTTTTAGTGTCGGTGGGGATCTTAGATGTCAAAGATAAAGCAAAAATGGTGTTCTTGAGTGATTTTCATTTACCCTATAATTTGTGTTGTGCTTTGGCAGGATGTTGAAGTCAAATGGGTTGAATATCAGAATATGGTAAATTACCTCATGCAGTGGATCAGACACCATGTTACAATAATGTCTGACAGAGGATTTCCCAACAACCCTGCGGAATTGAAGGTGAGATGCAGCCCCTTAAATGCCTCAGTGGCGTGACACTGTATGTTACTTACCCAAAGCATCCTTGAACAAACGAAGTGCTTGTTGATTTAGACAACTGAGCAGGAGAACAGTATCAATCATCATGGCCATGTAGGTTTTCATTAAATAGTTTTAAAGTTCAGGTGATCTTTGCAGGGTTTCTGGCATGCAGTATTTTAAGTGATAGAGATGGGACAAACCGGGTTTCTATATGGAAACCCTCTTTAAGAGCTCCATATATGTCTTCATAAGCTGAATTTGATTCTTAAGAAAGATAGAGGAAGAATGATACCACCTGTTCCTTCAAAAGTTCTTTTGGACAATCCAGATGGTAATCAAAAGTAAAGCATATAGTATGCACTAGCATCACTCTCACACATATGTTAGTAGCTGGGCAATTGTTTTCTTGCTGGAAAAGACAGCATGTTGAAAATCTACTCCTTAACCTTTTTTAAAGTACAAGAAATGTTTTCCTGGCATATGAACAATCCAAAGCAATTTTTTAGTTCATTGCTGATCATTTTTTCACAAAAGTTAAGTAAAGCAACAGAAGAAAGTAAGCTACTGAAGAATACTAGGGGAGGGGGCTGGTTATATTCACAATAAGGAAAAGCTGATGGTATTTTTATGTTTCTATAGGCACTTTATAATCAATATTTGCTGTTTAAAGAAACAGAAATTCCACCAAAGGAGATAGATAAATCAAAAATTAAACGTCTATATAAACTGCTAGAGGTAAGTTTTAATATATATTGCGATATGTGTGAAAGTTTCTTTTTTGGTCACTTTTGATAGCAAATATGTATGAATTTTAAAGGTCTGGATAGAATTTGGACGCATCAAACTCGCTCAAGGCTATCATCCAAACGATATAGAAAAAGAGTGGGGGAAGCTTATTATTGCCATGCTGGAGAGAGAGAAAACCCTTCGGCCAGAAGTGGAAAGGTAAAGCTGATGGAAGGTTGGCGGGCCTGGGTAATATTTTTTTCTGCTCTTTTACCTCACACTGAAATCTGTGAATAGCTTTGTCCATGGTAGAGTACACATTATTTTTTGTTAGATTGGTTAATTCTGTCTTTATTGAGAACTAGAGATCTTCAGGTGCACCATGCAGCAGTGCCATGGAGAAATCCTGTGGGTTTGAGAAGGTCCTAATGAAGAGTAGTGCCATCAGTGCCATCAGAGTGCGTGCACGTAACTATAGCATCCTCCCTTGTGCAAATGGTCCGAGCCAGGTTTCTGTTACTTCACCATCTCACTTGGAGTGTACTCCAGATAAGCAACAGCCTTATTCTTTACATTAATGCAGATTTCATTTCGGGCATAGCAAGGCGGTGAAAGTCCTGTTGTGGACTTGTTTAAAAGCTGGTTGTACTCAGGAGCACAGGAAGTAGATGTGAAGAGCACACAGGTTTCTCACAGGGTGTCGCAGGTGTGACACGAAGCTTTGGACATCACTAGGAGCTGTGATTTTTTACATTCCAAGCAGTTTTAAACTGTTGATGCAGCCTAAGAGTTTTTGCTTATTGTTGATTCCTCTTGGAGTTCTGTGGCAGAAACAGGGGCTGCCCTTTCATGCATCTCAGAGAAAAACTACCCTTTTGTTGATTAATTAATTTAATTGAGTAATGCTTTAGAGTATAGATAGGTAGAGATGACACGGTCTGGATTCACTCTGCTCCATTTCAAGCATTCAAATGGAAGGATCAAGTTGTGAATCACTTTCTAATGAATCCTGACACTGACTTTCTAGTTCTAATAGGGTGATTATGCTCTCTGATTCAGGTGCTTGAAATTAGCTGCAAGTAATTCCATTGTATAGGAAATCTGCAAAAAGACCGATTTTAGTAAGAGAAAATCCCAAAGGGGGGCAGAGCTGCTTAAATACCAGTCATGTTTACCAAAGCAAGAGCATGGCTGTAATGGCTGAATCTCAGGGAGATGCTGATTCACAGCATCCTTGTGGTAGCTGCTGCAAAAGAAACTCTGATCCAGGAATCAAAGGGATCCCCACAAGGCAAAGCCCAGCATGAGAAGGCAGTGGGAGAAATACAGTCTGCTAGGCCTTGTAAATGGATCCGTACTAATGTGCCAACAGCAAAGGTGGTGCCTGCCCTCACCAGAAGGAGTTCTATTAACACTTGCAAAAACTCTTTATTGAGAAATTAAATTATGTTTTTTTTATTATTATTTTTCATATGGTCTGTGCAGAAATAGGCATAAATAAACATAGACTCCCATATTTCAAGATAAATACATTTAAAGTGGCAGATCATGTAGTGACAGTCACTGAATTCGGTGTTTGCTACAAAATGAGAGGGAAGTTAAGTTAAATGATTCCGATTTAGTGATAAAGTTAAATTATCATTTGATCAGGGAACAAACCTTGCTCCATTTATTTACCATATTACTTTTAGTGTGCTTGATGTGTGGTGGTGATATTCTGGTACAGCTTCTGGGGTGGAGCAAAATGACACCCGAGTGAAGACTGAAATTTGATGAATAACTAAAACTTTACCTCAAAGCCTGAAAGTATTAGTGCAGGTGAGCAGTGTGTGGCCAGACTGGTGTTTGGGATCCAAATTAACTTGATGTTAGTGAGGACAGCAGCAAACTTCTATTTCAAAATCAGCAGAGTTCACAATTTTCTCGGGGTGTGTCTGTGCCTATGCTGTGCTCCTAGGCCTAAACGAAATCGTCCTAGACTGTGGGTGTCTTTTTCCGTGAGTTCAAAAAGAAAGAGCTGAAACACTGAAAAATCACCAAAACACACAAGTTTTAAACTAAATTATAAAGCTAAGGGCCATAGTTGGAAAAATGTGGAAGAAATTAACTGGAAAATTGCAGGGGGATGGGTTAGTGGAACAGAGAAGTTAACTGAACGTGTATTTGGACAGTGGTGTAATGATGGCGGCTTGGATGATGTACAGGTGTCTGAAATCAACCCGTTAAGAGCTGGCTAACTGTGATATTGCCACAGTTTTTTATTCTGTAGTTCTGTTTGAAAGAAAAGGAATCAACCCAACATGAAGTTTGGGTAAGAGGGGAGGGCACGGTGTTTCTCTAACCTCTGTCATGTTTGAAGCTCTTCATTTAGCAAGTCTGAGAAACACAAAATGTTTCTTTAAATGCATATTTTTCTTATTTGGCTTATAGACGTTTAGTGACACTTAAGCAAAATATTTGGCACGTCTGTTTGCTAGAGACGCCCTAGTGCTGCTGCCTAGTCCGTACTTGCAAAGCCTGAGCACAAGGTAGGGAAGCCAAAAGCAAGTTACGTCCCTAGCCCCGGGCCAAGCCCTTTCAAGAGCTGGCACAGGGTTAATTGCTGGCTTTGAATATGCATCCTGGAGCCTATTTAAAGAGGGCGTGCTACATCTTCCAAAGCCAGTAGTGGAATTTCACCCCTAGAAGCTGTACGTTCTGTAGGAGTTTGATCTTTTTCATTTCTCAGCAAATGCGAAGAGCCCCCGGGATCGGTGCTCTGGATGTGAAAATGAATAGCAGTAGTTACAGCTATCACAGCAGTGATTCACTGTTCAGCAACAGTACCGGTGCTCGAACCAGCACCGACTCGAATGAGAATTTCCTTTCAGTTAATTGTGGCCCTACATTGGTTAAATCTTGTATAAGCTTTGGTAATGGCGCCTTAAATGGAACTAGGTAACATGGCATAATATTGTTTTCTGAAAGATGCTGTTTTCTTTCTTTTTCTTTTCCCTTTTGGTCTTTCTTTTAAAAAGTCAAGCATGTATAGTAACTAGCATTAATGCTCGTTTGTTTCTCCCAAATGCTCAGGCTGGAGATGCTACAGCAAATTGCAAACCGAATCCAGCGGGACAGCCTGAGCTGTGAGGACAAGCTGATCCTTGCCCGGAACGCTCTGCAGGCTGTAAGTCTCTCCGTGGTGCTTTACTGGGCTGCCTCAGTGCACTTACTGCTTCAAGAAACCTATTCTTTTAAGATTTTTGAGTGTGTACTTAACAGCTGGTATTTTCATTTTTGTTGATCTATTTTGTTTACCTTGCTGTTTCATTAAGAAAATGCCCAAAATTCTGTTGTTTTTTTTTTAAGTTGTTAGATAAAATGTTTCACAATTGTTTTAAGATCCTGAAAAAAATACAGAAAAGTTAATATTTCATACAGTTCTTTTCTATTTGGTTTACCTTCAGGTTTTAATGACTCTCTTTTATTTATTCAGGATGCCAAGCGTTTAGAATCAGGACTCCAGTTCCAGAATGAGGCAGAGATAGCCGGGTATCTTCTTGAATCTGAGAATATGCTCCGTCAGCAAGTGATTGATGCCCAAATTCTTATCGATGGAAAATACTATCAGGCAGACCAGCTTGTGCAGAGGTATTTTAGAGTGTTCATTTATAGGAATAAATGTGTCCCAAATATGGATAACCACTATGGATGGCTTTTTTTAAGTCTTTATGTCTAGGAATACATTTCTCAGTCTGTTGCACTGGCACCCAATTGAAGATTGTCAGGTATTCCAGTGGGTACGATGGCCACAAAATTTACTGAGGATAAAAGGATCTGTTGTACTCATGTGTGGAAATGAAATAGTTCACCAGAATGTGATTTAAATTTATATTAGCTATCTGAGTGTAAAAAAAAAAGTAGCATGTGCTACAGCTAAAACCATTTTAGGACTCTCTAACTTTGATTTAAAAAATGTAGGTGATATTTCTGTAGGCAGGTGAGACAGCTTTAGGAATCTTCCCAGGTAAACAGCTGGGTAACATTAGTTCACTGACGAGGGCGTGTACAGTCTTAGCAGAAAGATACAACTTACCAGGATAATGTAATTTTATGAAAAAGTGGTACCAAAATCTGTCAGGATTCATCTTGCACTAGGTGAGATCAAGCAGGTAACAGCTGCCATAGCAGTTAACTGTAAATATTGGATCTACCACAACATGTGGTATCTTGTAAGATTTTTCCTTTGCTGATGGTTCCTTAACTCTCTAGGGTAGCTGCTAGGGGCCATTCTGTGCTGATTACCTGGGTCGTTGCTCAATTTGCTCTTCTGCTATTTGTGTATTTTCACAAATATACGTATTTTTGTATATATTTGTGTATTTGTGTAACTACAAGGTGATATAGCAAATGCTTTCTGATGTGAGTGCTTACGTATAAATATTTTGACTTAAATTTTAAGAGATTGTGTGAATTGGTACTGCCACTCAGTTGAGCATGAAAAAGCTATCAGAAGCATTAGTTTCAAGGATTTTCTGCTTAGTTTGGCTTTTTTTTTTTTTTAATAGGGTTGCAAAACTTCGTGATGACCTGTTAGCTATAAGGACTGAATGTTCTTCCTTGTACAACAAGGGGCACGCGCTGACGACGGAGCAGACAAAGCTGATGATATCGGGAATAACCGAAAGCTTAAACTCGGGATTTACAACAAGCCTAACCCCAGAATTAAGTGCTGCAATGACCCAAGGTTTCACACCTTCTTTGACTTCCTCCAGTTTGACATCTGGCCTTTCGCCGGGTCTTACCTCCAGACTGACACCAGCCATCACTCCTGCCTATACACCAGGCCTCCCGTCACCACGGTTAATTCAAAGCTACATGACAGGAGTAGATGGTGGGAGTCTGCAAACACTCAAACTGACACAAATCAGAAAACCTCTGATGAAATCAGCTTTTGTGGACCAGAATTTAACAGAAGAAGAAGTCAACATGAAATTTGTCCAGGATCTATTAAGCTGGGTGGAAGAAATGCAGGTAACAATCTTTATGGAAATAGTCTACTTCTAATTCTTACGTTAGTTCCCTGTAAGTCATCACTGATTTTTTTCCTTTTCCTTCTTTTTTGTAAGGTGCAACTTGATCGAGCAGAATGGGGTTCAGATTTGCCAAGTGTTGAAAGCCATTTAGAAAATCACAAAAATGTCCACAAAGCTATTGAGGAATTTGAATCTAGCCTTAAAGAAGCAAAAATCAGTGAGGTAAAGCACCATGTTCTTAATTTCTTGGATTACTCCTTTAGTGAATGACCTATGAAGTAAGGATGAATAATGGAACTGTGCAGGTTTCTGGGACTAGCTTTATTTTTACTTCTGATCTCCAAATGACAGCATAAAATCAGGAGATGTAATTGTGAACATAACGTGTTTAATCTTTTTGTTGTCTTTTTCACCTTGTCTACCAAATACAGATTCAAATGACAGCCCCTCTTAAACTCAGTTATGCAGAAAAATTGCACAAACTGGAGAGTCAGTATGCAAAACTTCTGGTAAGTCCGTCCTATCTCTTTGGATGTTCAGCTTCTCAGTGTGCATTGTCTTTGGTAGGGGGCGGTTTATAAATCTTCCCTTTTTTTTTTTTTCCAAATAAAGAACACCTCAAGAAATCAGGAGAGGCACCTAGAGACTCTTCACAGTTTTGTGTCCCGTGCTACCAGAGAGCTGATATGGCTGAATGAAAAAGAAGAGGAAGAGGTTGCATATGATTGGAGTGACAGAAACACCAATATAGCAAGAAAAAAGGAATATCATGCAGTATGTATTGGTCTTATAATCCGGAGGTAATAATTAAGTCACCTGTAATATTTTAACATTTCTAAAATATTTCTATGTTCTTTGAAAAAAAAAGGAATTAATGAGAGAACTTGATCAAAAAGAAGAAGTTATTAAATCCGTTCAAGAAATAGCTGAACAATTGCTTCTTGAAAATCACCCAGCCAGGCTAACCATTGAGGTAAGTTATTAAACACAGCACACACACAAGAGAACAATGCTGATTTAATAGGCCTTAGATTTAGAGGGAAAAGAAGGGAAGCGCTAACTCATAGGAAATTACTCAACAAGAGTGGATAATGAAGCTTTTTTTTCTCTTCTCTTCAGTGTCTCCTACGTACCTCTGTCTTTCAATTACCAGAAACCATAAGCATTTGTGTACAATTATGGTTACCTTTTGGAGTCCTCATTGTTTAGACAAAAATCCCACAAAAGTCTAAAATGAAGATGTAAAGAGTTGGTCTGTACAGACGTTTCTGCCTGTGGACTTGCATAAAGCTTCTGTAATTATTGTTACAAATTGCACTGGCAGACTGAGGGCACAAAATAACCCTTATGTGGTTTCCCTCACATTGAACTGGAGGAAGTTTCAGGAGAGCACTTCCAA